GGTGGCTAAAGGTCACCAGGGGGTTTTTGGTCTTTCTGAGTTCAAGGTCATGATTTACCTTTCAAGTTCCATTTATCCATTGATTGTCGTTTTTTTAATGGTTTTGAGAATTTATTGATTTAATTTTTCTGTGGATTGTAGTATCATTTAGTTTTGTGGTGTTTTGTTGTTTATCGTAAAATAAGCTATCATTTTGTAGATTGTGTGGGTTGTTTTTACATATAACCGGTATATCTCTACCTAAATGCTCCTACCTTGTCCATTGCGGGTACGGACGACAATTTTGTTTTAGTTTTGTTTCAATTTGTCTATGAATGATAGTTTCTTTTAGTTTTGTGGCGTCTCCAATTTTTATGGTTTAGTTTAAAGTAGGCTAGCATTTTGTGGATTCTTTTTTTGTGCTTTTGTTTCGTTTACCATCGTGAGGGTAAGATCCCCCTATTTTAAGTTCGTTCAAGCATCCATGACATGGGTTCACCACCATCTATATGCTTCTAGATTAGACGTTGGATGGCTAATGGTTACTTGGTTCTAGGATGTTTGGCCTTTCTGAGTTCAAGGTCAGGGATTTACCTTTAAAGTTTCATTTATCCATTGATTGTCGTTTTCTTCTAATGGTTTTTAGATTTGATTGTCTAATTATGGTTGCTTCAGTTATTTTTGTGGCGTCTTGCCCAGCTTTGTGTTTATCAATATGTAAGCTAGCTTTTCTATATTGTTCTTCTATGATTTTAATTTTTTACCATCCCCGAGGGCATGATCCACTTATCCTCACTTGGTTCAAGCATCCATGCCTTGGGTACACCACCACCTATATGCTCCTACCTTGTCCATTGAGGGGCTTTCTGTGGCTAAAAGTGACCGAGTTTATGGGGGTTTGGTCCTCTTGAGTCCAAGGTCATGGATTTAGTTTTCGGCTTCCATTTATCCATTGATTGTGGTTTTTCTCAACAATTATGACATTCAATTGTTTCAATTTCTCTATAGATGGTAGTTTGTCTTCCGTTTTTATGGTTAAATGTAAAGTAGGCTAGCATTTTTGTGGTTTTGCATTGTTTACCATCTTGAAGGGTAAGATCATCCTATCATTGGTCAGTTAATGCATCCATGTCATGCCTATATTTTTCTCACTTGTCCATTAAGGGGGGTTGGGTGGCTAAAGTTCACCCGTGAGGGGGGGGGGTCTTTCTGAGTTCTAGGTCAGGATTTACCTTTTCAAGTTCTCTTTATCCATTGATAGTCGTTCTTTTAATATTTTTGAGAATTTATTGATTTAATTTTTCTATGGATTGTAGTATCATTTAGTTTTGTGTTGTCTTGCCCATTTTTGTTGTTTATCATTATGTAGATTTTGTGTATTGTTTTTCTATGATGTTACCTTCTTACCATCTCAAAGGCATGATCTGCCTATCCTCACTTGGTTCAAGCATCCATATCACTGGTACATCTCCACCTTAATGCACCTACCTTGTCCATCGAGGGGAGTTAGGTGGCTAAAGGTTACCGAGTTCATGGGAATTTCTTCCATCCTAGTCTATAATCTATACTATCTTATAAAGCATTTGGCTAAAACTCTTAAAACTCTTAAAGACAACCTCTATTGCTAATGGTACAACCTATTAAAGCCATCCCTAAACCCGTTCATCCCTATCCGATTTTATCCCTATCCTATTTCATCGCCAACAGAAACCCAATTCCCTCCCTAAACGATTTCATCCCTATCCGATTTCATCGCCAACAGATTTTGAAGAATACGGATTCGAATTCATCCCTAACCCAGTTCGATTTCATAAACCCTAAACGATTTCATCGCCCTCCCTAAACGATATCATCGCCAACCGATCTTCAAGAATACAAATTCGATTTAATCTCTAAATATTCTGGGATGATATTGACTACAGTAGAATTTAGAGATGCATATATATTGCTTCAGACGCAGCTTGATTTCGGGTCTGTCAATTACTTCAAAACCTCAATCCTCTCGGGTAAGTTTCTCTTTATTTCATGACCTAATTCTTGGTTGATTCATTGTTTGATCAATTAACAGGTCGGGTATGCATGGTTGAATTTTTTTCCATTATGATAAACTGTGATGCCTACTGATTTTTCTTCTTCTTGAAATTTTGTGTATCAGTCTCTGTTTGGGTAGTAGGACACTTAAATGAGTATTTCAATTGGACACTAAATAAGGATTGGTTTCTTATTGTGTTCCTTTTTACAGTGTCAAGGTGGCGAGTGGTTTCATTACTCATGCGTCGGTCTGACGCCCGAGACGAGGTTCAAGGGGAAGTGGTATTGTATGACCTGCAGACAACTTCCATTGTAACGGGTGAGTTGTTTGGTTTATATATGTTTGTACAGCGCTGATTATGTGCCTGTTTCCGTCTACTTCCTTAACTGATGATTTCAACATCTGGGGTTTGAAGTGATCATAAATCAATAAATTTGTGTTTATGAAAGGAGTTAAAAGTTTAGGACTGTTTGGAAGGAAGTTTAGGTTGATGCATCCATGTCTGTTTAGGGTCGTCCATTTTAAACCAAGTGATTTCCTTGTGAAGATGCATAAGATTCTAGGAACTCTGGGTGTAATTGTAAAGCTTGAAAAATAATAGTTGGATGTCTAAATCATGAATCTTCCTTAACAAAGCCACAGTAGCACAGTTACGTGCAGAAAACTTGCAGATTCAAACTTTCCTTTGACTTTAACACTTGAATATATCAATAGAGGAAAACTAAAAAAGCACAAGATTTTTCACTCTTTACACCTCGTGACTGTGCAGGGTTTGATTGTACTGTACCATACATATTGTCCATGCTTATGTAGAATAGAGCTACCAACACTTTTGTCATATCCAAACTAACATCTCAAATGAAATTTCAACTTCTGGCCTCAATTTCTCAATAACCAAAAGCTTGTGTTTTGGGGTTTTTCACAAAGAGTTTCATGGGAAAACGTATAGGATTTTGGTAGATAACACATTGATGGTGATGAGTGAAATGAACGGGGTTTAAGTGAAGTTTGACTACAAGTCTGAGACAATCGAGCATGTTTTTAACAGTCATTTTCAATTCCTAAGGGCTGTTTGTTTATCTTTTTCCAAATGTATAAAACAAGTATGTATTGCAAATAGTATTTTTAAAGAGTGACGATTTCTTTTTATTTTATTATATGCACACAAGTTGACTTATGGAGTGGAATCGGTTAACATTTATAAGTGAAACTAGAGACAAGTTGAAGAGGCTTACAATGACTAGATCAATGAGTATCCTCGATGCCACAACATATGAACGTTGACCCTAGCGCAAATGACGTAACATTTACGAAGAGGAAGAATCTTGGATGATGGTCATATAATTGATACGAGTTGCGTTACGCGGTATATAAAGTCAATTTACCTAGATTGATTAAGTTGTCAATTGAATAACTGGCAACACATTATGAAGCATTGTCTTTCATTCAGTAATGATTTGCAGAGAAACCTATAGATTCAGTGAAAAAGATCTTGGAGCTGTTCATAGGAAAGAATTTCATGTACACATACCCTGCTCCACTGTCCAGTAAATCTATACTATATTATAATGCATT